CTGTGTGCTCCAGGAATTCTGTCCTTAAGATGTGGGGTTACTAAGCTATCCCTGTGCCCAGTCCTCCCTGGGTCTGAAGACCCAGGTCCTTGCTCCCCCAGATGTGCTCTGCTGCTCTACCCAGGGTTTCAGGCACTGGGTTGCATGTGAACTCCCTGGATGTCTAGTTGCATGTCTGACTGTGTTCCTCAGGTTGAGTCGGCATTTCTAAGAGCTCCAAGGGTTGCAGAGACAGCTGGACCAGGGACCCCCCCTTGTGTTGTTAATAGAATATTTGTTTAACTGTATAAAGATGCATTTCTTTTTGTTGCGGAATAATTGTTTAACTATGTAAAGATGTGTTGTTGTTTTACATTGCCTGCCTCTGGCATCTGACTGGTCTAATAAAAAACTGAATTGCCAGTAGCTAGGCAGTAGGGGACTAGGCAGGGCTGGTGGGCAGAGAGAACAAGTAGGAGGAATCTAGGTGAGAGAGAGAGAGAACACAAAGAAGAAAGAGAAGGACATGCCCAGAGCCAGCCAGTCAGGTAGCTGCTAGCCAGACAGACACGGAAGAGGTAGGAAAGTAGGACATACAGAAGGAAAGAAAGGTTAAAAAGCCCCAAAGCAAAACATAGATGAAGAGAAACAGGTAAAATTAAGTTATAAGAGCTAGCTAGAAATGACCATAAACTAAGGCCGAGCATTCATAACTAATAAGAAGTCTCCGTGTCGCGATTTGTGGGCTGGTGGTCTGAGAAAGCCTGCTACAGGAGCAGAAGGCAAGACTCCTTTCTGGCCGCCTCCTTCGTGTCTTCTGTCTCTCAGCAGTTGTCTTTTCCTTGTCCTCTGCCTTCTCTTTCTAGGTCCACATTGCTGTCTCCCCATTATCAGCATGGGCTGTCTTCCTCAAATCACATTGTATTTAGGTTACTCACATGTGAAGAGTCAAGTTAGAATGGCAATAATTTCTCAACAATGATGCTAATAAATGAAGAGGAGAAAGGCTAGGAGAGCCTGGGCATGTGAGAGGACCAGGCAGACACCATAACAGGCTGCTCAGTCTCCTCTCAGAGATCAGACCTCAATTTCAGGTTCCTAAGAGTGAACAAGCAGTTTCTGAAAGAGCCACCAACAAAGGACAATTAATCACTGGTGCCCCTGACCACAGGGACAAGGGAGATGGGACACACCAAGCCTGGGCCTCTGAGACAGCCCCCACAGTCAGTGCATACCAGGTCAGCCAGCCTCCACAACAGCTCCAGGACAAAGCCAGGGACTTGTCCAGGCCCGCCCCAAAATGGAAAACTGTACCCTGACCAGCTTCTAACCAGCCCTGGCCAATTAGAATGTACTGATATGATTGCCACTTGCATGAGCCAATCATATCTTAAATTACCCTAGGACCTCCCCTTGGCTATGCTTAAAAAGAGCCCACACATCCCTCCCTGGGTCTTCACCATCTTGTCTTTGTGCGGATGGCAGGCTTCAGCATGCTGGAATAATAAATGTTCTTGTTGATTGCATACATGGATGATGGTCTTTTGTGGGACTTCTCCAGGACCCTAACACATGGAACATACACTTTAAAAAAGGATTGGTCACTGCCTGGCATTTGGTGTATGCCAGTAATACCATCACTTGAGAAATGGAGGGAGGAAGATCAGGAGCCCAAGGTCTTCTTCAGCTACATAGAGAATTAGAAGCCAGTGTGGGCTACACGACTTCCTGTCAAAGAAAACAAAAAAGGAGGAGGAGGAGGAGGAGGAGGAGGAGGAGGAGGAGGAGGAGGAGGAGGGAGAAGTAGGGTGGGGGGAGAAAGTAAGAAAGACGAGAAAGGAGAGATCTAAAAATAGATATGAGGATGGCTCAGTAAAATGTTTACCTCAGCTGGACAGTGGTGGCACACGCATTTAATCTCAGCATTCAGGAGGCGGGTATCTGTGAGTTCGAGGCCAGCCTGGTCTACAGAGAGAGTTCCAGGACAGGCTCCAAAACTACACAGAGAAACCCTGTCTCGAAAAACAAAACAACAACAACAAAAAGTTTGCCTCACAAGCATGAGGACCTGAGTTAGCTCTCTAGGACCCATGGAAGAAAGTGGACACAGCGGTGCACACCTGTAACCCAGCTGTGGAGAGACAGAAGGTGGAGGCAAATAGATCCCTGGAAGCTCTCTGGCCAGCTAGCCAAGCCTAATGGGTGAAGCTCTAGGCCAATGAGGCACCATGTCTCAAACAGAAATGTAAGGCACTCAAGGAACAACCTTTGTGGTTGTCCTCTGACCTCTACATATCCATATACATACGTACATGCACATGCATATCCACCCCCCCCCCCCGAGAGAGAGAGAGAGAGAGAGAGAGAGAGAGAGAGAGAGAGAGAGAGAGAGAGAAACAGGCTTGATGACAGGGTCATTGTGGGACTGTGAGCCTATGGAATGAACAACTTGTGCTCACTCACGGTCCTCCAAACCTGTGGGCATAGCAAATTCTGACCAATTGTTTGTGAACGGGAATGAGGCCTAGGGAAAATGCTGACCTCATCAGAAGGTGTTTTCTTTTCCCCATGCACTGACTATAAAGGCCATATATATGTCTTGGTGGTACAGGATGGGACAAAAGCGCTCTTCTAGTTTGCAGAGTCAATGATAAAAAAATTAAACAATTGTGTCTTGTTGCGCTAAGCATTTGTTACTGTTGCAAAAACAGCCTCACACTGACCAATATTCCTTAGCATGGGAGACACAAGGTGGCCCATAAATTCCGTACTAGACTCCAGACCAGCCTGCAGCAGCCCTTCCCCTCTCATAGATAGCCACAGGCACCCTACTGAGAAGATCATCTGTGAATCTCTAACAGCTCACCAGGTGCCAGGATTTCTCCCCTGGGGAAATGAGTTTACAGCAGAAGGTGTTGGTGGCCACACATCCGGCAACAGGGGAGCTAGAGAGCCCCGCTGCAGGCCTGTGCAGGAGGACCATCCCCTTCCTCAGAGAGCTCTGAGAAGAGACGCTGAAGCTGCCGGAGATTCTCCCACCGTACTGTGTGCCTCTGGCATGGCTCAGCACTGTTGCATGCTGTGTGTCTGTCTACTCATGGTCTTAATAACGTCTAATAAACTCCTTACAAGAGTCCATCTCATCATCTCCCTTGAAGCCTGGGCCTGAAAGACCTTTCATAAAGGTTCGTGGGGCTTCAGAGAAGCTTTATCTGGGCACAGGAGTCGATTCTGTATCAAAGATGAAAGAAGAGCCCAATACAGAATCAGAACCACAACGGAGCAGAGGCCCAGGGGAAACGCTGAACTCATCGGAAGGCGCTCCAGGATTTGCATAGATCAAGAACAAGAAGACGGAAAAGCCACTCTGAAGAAGCCATGTGAAACATGAAGCCGGAGCCAAAGCGAGAGAGCCCCAACCGACTGACCCACAGAGGGAACCGTGTTGAAGATCTTAGGCAGTGTGCTCTGTCTTGCCAGCGTTTAACATGGCACCAGCAGGGGTCTGCAACGCAGGAACATTCATCGAGTGAATGAAGACAGAAACGGAAGGGGTAGGGAGAGGGTCTGACTTCTTCCATTGGACTCTGTCTCTAGGCCGGGATGAATTAAATTCCAAGGTCCTGAGAGGAAGCGCCGCTGTGAAAGCAGAAGCAGTGTTAGTAATCTAGCCGTCATGGGCAGTGGGAAAGGGGGGGTCTTGTTAGAGGGAGGAAAGCGGGAACCGGACCTCTCAGTGGGGAATTAATTTTAACTCCTGGCACATTTCTGGAAGTCTGGTTCCCGTTTTTTTTTTTTTTTTTTTTTTTTTGTTTTTTTCCTGCTAGAAACGGGTCTAGTAAATTGATGGCTCATGAACAAACGATAATAAGGCAGATATTGGGAGTCTAGTGGACTTAAAAAATGTAACAGCTTATTTTTGTTGAGGACTTACTGAATGCCAGTCAGTGCACTGTGTGGATTAGCTTAGTTATCATTCATTACCTCCTAGAGAGTAGAGTAACCCCAGCAGATGGTCACAGTGGTGACTGTGCAATTATTTTATTGATAATATTAGCTGATATCAGGGTTCAGAGGTCACCTGGGGGGCGTTCTAGGTTGTGTCCCTGAACAAGGAATTGAGCAGAAACCCACAGTTTTAACAGAAGTGGAGATTGTTTATTCAGGGGTTGTATACTTCTGGGGGATGACGGGGCAGACCTGAGTAAGAAATGGCATGTGTTGCAGTCCAAAAGATTGGAACTTTTATCACACAGCAGGGGCTTTGGGACTCATTTGTACCACACAGGCTTTTGTAAGCACACTGTGTGTGTTACACGTGATTCTACATAAACCCTTATGAGTCACACATCTCATTAACATTTTTAATATTCACTGTGTATTTTATACAATAAGGAGCCTGAGGTAATTTTCAGACACTCTAGAGTGTCTCTGTGCTTGGGTCAGCAGCATGAGCCAGCTTTAGTTGGCCTGCACCAGGGCATTTCTTGTCTCTTTCTTTGGGGTGGTGGTTTGAGTAAGAATGGCCCCCATAGGCTCGTATATCTGAATGCTTGGTAATTAGGGAGTGGCACTACTTGAGAGAGAGAATGGGGGCGTGGCCTTCTTGGAGTAGGTGTGGCCTCGCTGGAGGAAGTGTGTCACTGGGTCAGGGAAGAACACTGGACTTAGGGGTTTCAAAAGTCCAAGCCAGTTCCAGCATCTCTCTTCCTGCTGCCTGTGAATCCAGATTGGAAGCAGATCTTCCCACTTCAAATTAAGCAAACATCCCTCACAGGTGTGCCCTCCATTTTTGAGTTTTAGTTAATTCCAGGTGTAGTCAAGTTGATAAGAATAGCCATCACCTTTAACAATTCATTTTTTTTCATATTCTAATTTTGCAGACTTTGCATAAGGCTCAATCTCTGCTTATTTTCCTTCCTGATCTGGATCTACAACCACTCTAACTCCAAATGCAGCAATCCTCACCATCGCATTTGTCCATGTTCTGTTACTATAACAAAATGCTGGAGACTGGAGGATTTAATAAAGAAATGAGATTTATTTTGCTTATAGCTCTGAAGATTCAGGTGTGTGCTTCTGACATCAGCTGGGCTTGGGTGGGGACCTCATGGTAGATGTATCAAACTGGTGAAAAATGTGTGTGATCTTGATGAGTTAGGAAGTCTGAAAGCAGGGAAGGGCCAGTCATGATCTCCCATGAGGTTCTACCTCTCAAAGGTCCCATGAGCTCCTAACCCCACTACAGTGGGAATCAAGTTTCCAGCCCAAGAATCTTTGAAGAACACACTAAAACCATACCTAGACCATAGTAAATGTGATGTTATGGGACTCTTTGACTAGTAGAAGAGCTTCTGGGCAGGGTTTTTAAAAAAAGACTAGCCAGTGGATAGGAACAAATCTATCCATACACAGCCATGGGAGCCACCATATGGTCATCCTCCATCGGCTAGGTAAGAACCATCTCAAAACCAAGATGTGTCAAGCATGTCTCTTGACCAGGATACACAACAGAATTTTCAGAGCGTGGTCACAGAAGGATGGAAAGACTGTCCTCATGGATTGAAGAACACTGACATGAAATAAAAACCAGACAAAACTTGTTAGCTCAAAACTGACAATTTCCCTGTTGATTATAACCTCTCTCTCTCTCTCTCTCTCTCTCTCTCTCTCTCTCTCTCTCTCTGTGTGTGTGTGTGTGTGTGTGTGTGCTTCTGCCTAGAAGGTAAAGTCTACACAGCAGAGAGCTGAGTGTAGGAAGAAAGCACCTTTGGTGTTCAAAGGAGAGAAAGATAGACAAGAGGTGAGATTTGAGTGCTTTGGCCAACCCTCATATTCCCACATTATTCCCCAGACATCATAGGAGTCTGGGTGTTGGGCAGGTGGGGTGGAGGGAAGGGATTAATAGAGACGGACACAGGTGTGACAGGATCCGGGCCAGGCCTTGTGAGGCATCCTGCAGTGTCCTAGGTGTGGCCTGGGAAACATTCCAGATCATTAAGCCCCTCCCCCCAGCTCCCCAAAGACAACACTGTAGGGAATATCTGGTGGTATTTACTTGTATTTATTTATTTATTTCAAAGCTCTTAGTGTAGTTGAAAACTTAAATAACTTTAGAAGTATGAGCAAAATAAACTTATGAAGGAAGTCATTTAAGAATAAAATTATTGCTGGGTGTGGTGTTGCATGCTTTTACATCCAACACTGGAGAGGCAGAGACAGGTGGATCTCTGTAAGTTTGAGGCCAGGCTGGTCTACAAAGCAAGTTCAGTGCTAGCCAGTGATACATGGTCTTAAAAAACAAAGCAAACCCCCCCACCCCCCGCAAAAAAAAAATCAACAAAAAAGCAAGAAAACAAGCAAGCAAGAAAGAAAAAGAACCCCATTATTTACATTTATGTGTTGAAGTTGTTCACTTAGAACAAAACTTTAAAAGAAGTATTTACTTTCATTTGATGTGTCTGGGTGTCTTGCCTGCATGTATGTCTGTGTACTGCATGTGTGCAGTGCCTGTAGAAGCCAGCAAGAGCCATCAGGTCCCCTGGAACTGGAGTTATGAATGGATGTGAGCCACCATGTGGGTTCTGGCAATCGAACTTGGGTCCTCTGGAAGAGCATTCAATGCTCTTAACAACTGAGCCCTCTTTCTGGCCCCTAAAACAAAACTTTTAAACAGGCCCCCTTTGCAGACAGTCAGTGTTGACCCCAAACCAAAACCAAGCATTTAATATATTCCTGAAAATTCTCAGAACTAAAACCAGGGGGTCTGGGGACATCAGCCAGATCTGAATTCACCCCTCATCATGCAAGGCACATGCTGGGTGCTGTGGCTCATGCCTGTGACCCTAGCAGTAGGGAGGTGGAGACAGGAGGAGCTCTGGCCTTCTTGGTCGGCCAGTCTGGCCGAATTGAGCTACAGGTTCAGTGAAGAGCCTATCCTGAATACAAGCTCATGTTGTTTGTAAGTTTGCATCTTTTATTTCTTTATATTCAGAAACAGTTAGGGCTCAGAACTGCAGTGAGTTTGTGTAAGGAGGCGGCATCCTGCCCTTGACTGTGGAGGTATGCTGAGGGCTGTGTCGGGCTGAGCAGACTGTGTTCTTCAGTTCTGAGACACGAAAGGGGGGGGGGGGGCTTACTAATCATTCCCCAGGACTTTGAACTTTACAACTCTGTAATTACTCCTAAGACTTTATATTTAGACTTTCTGTTTCGTTGGCGTGTGCTCCCTTTCTATTTGTTTTATGACTTTGGGTTTGTCTGGCAGTTTGTTTTAAGAGCCCTGAAGGCCAAGTTTGTTTATTACCATGCCTGCTAGGTGTGTGTTTTTTTTTTTTTTTTTTAAATGTTACTTAAAAGGGGAATGGATCCCAATAACCTAACCTCAGTCAGACTGAACACTTCTTTACTTACACCCCCAAGTACTTCAAAGCAAATCCTAGATATGAGATAAAGGTTTTCTTGGGCTTGGGAAGGGAAGGCAGCTTCAACAGAGGAAATGGAATCAATTAGTGCAGCCTGAGCAGAGGCAAAAGAGAAAGAGAGGAAAGAACCCTGGGGAGGAGGGAGGGGAGGAGGGAGGGGAAGAGGGAGGGGAAAAGGGAGGGGAGGAGGGAGAGGAGAAGGGAGGGGAGGAAGACCGAGGTAGAAGGGTAGTCACAAGGGATGTGTGTGTGTGTGTGTGTGTGTGTGTGTGTGTGTGTGTGTGTGTGTGTGTGTGGTGTGGTGTCTGTTTCTCTCCAGACACATTTACAGTTTCCTTCACTTCCTGCCCATTTTCTTCTTTACTTTGAAAGCCTCAGCAACCTGGGTGGGACTTGGTGGACAGAGGCGTCTCTCTGTCCAGCAGTGAGAGGACGGATGGTCCCTGGCCTGCCAGCTGCGCACCATGGCCTGAATCCCTAGACGAGGCTCACTGGGGGCCCTGGGAGCTGGGGGCTTCCTCCTCTTTGTACATAAAAGGAAGAAGACCCTTCACACTGGAACACAGTCATTTTCCTTCCCCAGCGAGGCCTGGCAATTAGGCAACAAGAAGAGAACTCTAAAGAGAAGGAGGGATCTGCTGCTCCTTGGAAAGATGCACTCAGCCACAGAATGCCCCAGCTGCTGCCCAACAAGGGCAGAGAATCCTGGTGAGCCAAACCAGGGCTTTTGCAAATGCCAGGCTGTATTATCATATGATAAATATTAGCCTGTTAAAATTATCTTTAACTTCATCTAAGTTTGACAGAGGAACTTAAAAAAAAAACCAAGCTACCTATGGAGATCTCATCTCACGGAGTACTCATGTTTTGTGAAACCCAGGTTGAATTCTGAAATTTTGTTTTCTTTTCTTTTTTTTTGTTTTCTTTGTTTTGTTCTGTTCTGCTTGTCACAAGATCTCACTGTGTAGCTTTAGCTGGCTTGGAACTCACAAGGTAGACTAGGGTAGTTTCAAACTCATAGAGACCTACCAGGATTGTGAGTGCTGGGATCAATGAACTGTGCCATCATGGTTGGTCTGATATTATTTCTAACCTGAAGCCGCAGGCAAGGTGAGTCTCCTCCCACCTTATGCTTTGGGGCTGCCTATTCAGTTGGAAGTTTGAGAGGGAGGGAGGCTGAGAGCTCAGGGAGGTGGAGGTGCCTGAGGTGATGGACGCAATAAGCAGGGTGCTCTTCAGATGACTGAAGTAGAAAGGTCGAGACAATGCAGGACTTTAGTCAGGCAGTCCCCAGGTAGAGTGCAACAAGGGGCTACTGAGGTGAGACTCTTCAGGAACCTAAAAGTGGACCAAGGGAGGGCTCAGGGCATGGCCTTTCTAGGTCAGGGTAACTTTGGATGATCTCTTAAAAGACATTCATTTGTCGTTGTGACATGGTACTAGGCAGCCCAGACAAGGTTTGAACTTACTTGTAGTCAAAGAAGACTTTGAACTTTTTTTTTTTTTTTTGTAAGACAGGGTTGCTCAGTGTAGCCTTGGCTGTCCTGGAACTCAGTCTGTAGACCAGGCTAGCCTCAAACTCATAGAGATCTGCCCTACCTCTGCTTCCTGAGTGCTGGGATTAAAGGCATGGGCCATCACAGCCCAGCTTGACTTTGAACTTCTGTGATCCTTTGATCTCTACATCCCAAGTGCTTTGATTATAGGTCTTCATGACCACACTAGGTTTATACAGTGATGAGACTAGAACCCAGGACTTCATGCAAGTGAGGCAGACATTCTATCACTCATTACATCCTAAGCCCCAGACATTCATTCTTAAATAGGGAATCAAAGATCAGCAACCTAAGGCGCAGCAGAGTGAAGGGAAAATAACCCAGTATCTATTAATACCTGTCTACATTTTTATAGCATGTATCCTTAAGAAATTTTTGCATTTCCAAAATGGTGTGTGTGTGTGTGTGTGTGTGTGTGTGTGTGTGTGTGTGTGTGTGTGTGTGTATGGTTCATTGACTCCAACACTTACGTCTCGAATCTCTTCCTTTATTTGAGTTCCGCAGGCTCTTCCCCTGTCTCCTTATTTCTCAGTTGAGAGGCCGGCACTCTTAGCATGCTCTACTTTCACCGTTTTCCTCCTCATCCGTCCTGTGGTCTCCTGGCAGACTAGTCTTTCCAGACCTCAGTCCCTCCATATCTTCCTGCTTTCCAGGGCTTCTCCCATGCTCAAAAGACACATCTGCTATTCCAGAGATTGGAAGGAAAAGGAGTCATGAGTTCCAGGGTATGTAACAACACTGTGCCTCCAAAAACCAAGAGCCGTGGATGCAGCTCAGTGGTAGAGAGCTTGAGCTACTTACTTAAGACCCTGGTTTCATTCACAGCGTGGAAAAAAAGAAAGAATACATAAATTAGGCAGTTCATAGGTGGGGAATACACTCAGCGCTGTCATCAAGAGCACAGGGGTGGTATGTATTACCCCTCACCCACGGTCGTTGGCTGGCCACCCCTTCATCACAAGATGGCCACCACATGGCTGAATTCCAGACAGGAAGCAGAAGGCTACATGTGCGTTAGTTCCTCCTTTCATGTCATAGAAAGCTTTTCCAGAACACCTCTCCCCAGACTTGTGTTTATTCCAAAAATTGTATCATATAAACTGTGTTCTGTGTTTCATAGCCATTTCTAGCTAGACGGGAGACTAAAAGAAACAAGCATTTCTCTCCCGAGTCGCTATCACAGAGAAAGACCCAGGAGAGGAGAATTGGAGTTATGTGTGGGGAGGGCCAACTCACAGTCTGTATTATAAACAGTGTCCCTGGTGGACTGAGAGCCACCTCCCTAAGACAGTCACATTCTATTAGCATCTGTCTGGATCCCTAGTTCCCAGGATGGAATTGGGTTCTTGGCAAACACTGTTCAAAAATCTTTCAAACACAGGGAAGAGTACATGTCTGTTCATGAACACCCATCAAGTGCTAAGAAAAAAGGTTAGTTGTCAATATTTTATAAAAAGATAGGGTTGTGATGCCGGGCGGCAGTGGCACATACCTTTAATCCCAGCCTTGGGAGGCAGTCAGGTGGATCTCTGTGAGTTTGAGGCCAGCCTGGTCTACAGAGCGAGATCCAGGACTGGCACCAAAACTACACAGAGAAACCCTGTCTCAAAAAACAAACAAACTAACAAAAAAATGATATGGTTGCTTTCATTCAACAGTCTGATGTGTGCACAGACCTATAAGCACAAAGAAGGAAAGAGCTGTGCTCTAGGCAGTGTTAGCACACAGTGAAGGCCCATCTCTGTAGGTTCTTGTGATTCTCTCCTGGGAGGAGAGGGGCAACTGATCACAGGAGGAGTCAGTTATTCTTCTGCATAGCAAATCAGGGCTAGGCACATGGAAGAAGAGAAAGGCAGACTCAGCGTGGGGATGCAACCCAGTTCCTAGGGTATGCTGGCAAACCATTGACTGGTGATATTTTTTTAAACTTCTTTGGAGAAAAAGAAATTGGATGGTGACTATCCCTCATTTGGGTTTTTGGGAATTTCTTTGGTTTTTGTAATTCCCCTGAATTACAAAATTAATCAAACTCTTCAGTAAGTTGGGACTCATGTGAATATCAATGAAAAATGCCTGTTGGCATACCTTGAGGAGAGAATGGGTCAGCCCCCACCCGACTAAAGGTAGGTAGCAAACCTGCTCATCCCAAAATACACTGGAGAAGGGAGTCTGAGATGGAGGACAGGAAAGGAAAGAGGGATGCTCACATTTGGTTCTGTGTCTTTCATATTGTGATCTCTAGTAAACTGCTACCTTCTGAATTCCAGAGACTTATTTCTTAGGGCCAGTGTCCTTACCACACTAGGTGAGGACATGGGTGGAAAGCATTCAGAACCTAGACTGTGCTCGGTACTCAATATCACACTCTAGGAAACCTCAATCTCTGTTTTTGATTCCCAACATCATTATAAACTGTGGGGGATGAGGGCGGCGAGGAGAATCCAAAACATGTAAAGACTACTCCAAAGGTTCTAGGGAGATGGCTCAGTGGGTAAGAACGCTGAATAGATGACCCTGAATTTAGATCCTCAGCACCCACATAAAAGTCAGGTGTGACTGTGCATGCCCGTAATCCCAGGGCAGGGGGAAGTGTGGGGCTGAATGAGGGGCGCATCTGAGATAGGAGATCTCTGGGGCTGGTTGGCTAACCAGCCTAGCAGAAAAGGCAAGCTCTAGGTTCAGTGAGAGACTCTGACTCAAGGAACTAAGTTGGAAGAGTGATAGAGCAGGATGGTTGATATCCTCTCCTGGCCTCTCCAGCTGTATGTGCACAGGAAAGATTCATCCAAGCACATTATATGTTCCTCAGTGCTTTAACCATAGCTCCATCTTAGCCTTATATTACTCAAAACCTATTTTTTTGTTATTTTATCAGTGTCCACCACTTACTTGTTATTTCAAGGGAGAAGACTGCCCAAGCCATCTAGTCTACCTGGCTATCATAGTACAATGCCCACCACATAGAATTGCTCAGAAAGTATTCTTAAAACTAATGTGTCACACAAACCTGCCTGTCCATAAGACCGCCCTTGCTACCATGACCTTCCCCCAACCCCCAATCTCCCTTCTGGCCAGTTGGAGTATTCTGGAAACCCTTGAACTAGCATTTTCATTAAACAAGGACTTTCAAGAGACAACTACCCTTTCCCTTCCTGTCCATTCTTGGGCAAGCCAGAAATTCCTAGTTCACAACAGGAAACCAATAGCTCTGTGCTATCAGAAGACATTTCCTCTACAGTACAAAACGTCTGAGGAATAATTCCTAACGGGGCTTCACCCATTTCCTGTGAAAGGAGGCAAACCCACCCATCCTTGGCCTGAAGGGCCCCGCCTTCCCAACTTTCAGTGATGCCATGCCTCCCGCATCAAGGAAGGGCCTGTCTTCTCCCTCGCTACATCCGACCCAGTATCCTGTGAGCACACCCACTCAGGAGGGCTTTTCAGTGTTCTGGCAAAGTACAGACCCTGTGCCAAGTTGTACCCTCAATGGAATATAGCTCACAGGCAGCCTTAATAATAATAATAATAATAATAATAATAGTAATAATAATTATTATTAGTATTTTTAAAAGGTCAGCTTCCTCTGAAAGCCTAAAGCCTTTGACTATGAGAAATTAGTGAATGGTAGGAGCCTTGAAAGTGTGTGGGACAAACTTCCAGCAGTTCCCCTGTTACTGACTTTGTCTGTGTAGAGAAAAGACCACAGAATTGTTTGGCCTGACACATCTATTCACTCCACTGTCCCAGGACACGTTTCGAGTTCTCTAAGACTGTTCAGAGAGAAGAATCTAGTCTTCTCTAGTAATTGTAATAGGGTTCTTACCACTAAGACTGGAATCTGCAAGGGCTGTTGTTACAGAAAAGAACATCGCAGCCTCAAAGCAAGGAACTTCTCCAAAGTTGCAAGGCCTGGAGGTGACTCCGTGAGCAGAGTGCTTGTGTATGTCTGCAACCCAGCTCTGGGGAGGTGGAGACAGGAGGATCTCTGGGGCTTTGCAGCCAGCCAGTCCTGTTAATTAACAGGCTCCAGGTTCTGACCCTGTGTCAAAGAACATGGTAGAAAGTGATAGAGGCCTGTGCACACATATGTACATGCACCTACACACATGGGCGTATATACTAAAACACACACACACACACACACACACACACACACACACACACACACACACACACACACAAAGCTGCTGCCAAGGTATATTGTGGCAAGAGTCAGGCTAGAATTCAGGCTTCTTCATTGAGGTCCAGAGTTTCGTCAGAAGGAGCATTTTTAATTCCTTTCTTCTAATGCTGTCTTTGACACTTTTCATATGGGCTCACCAGCAAGGTAGCAGAACTCTTCATGTTTCAAAAAGGAAAAGCTGATGGGAACTTCCAGATTCCAGAGAGAATCCCTTCTCCAATCAGCAGCAGGAAGTGCAAGATCAGGGCTTGGCCCTGGGCTTCCTGGCTTTAGCCTTAGGTGGAGCTCCTTAATTAGGCCACCAGGAAGGCATTGATGAGGGGGCAGGGAAGTTCTCTCACTAGGTAGAAGGTGAGTATGTTGGAAGGCCATGGAAAGGTACACTGTCCTTACAGCAGCAGCCACACTCTGGTCAGACTTGGGCAGGAGAGTTTCTGCACAGGTACAAGCAACCTATATCTGATATCATCAGCTTTTGTTTTGATAATAAGGATACGGAAGCCACAGAAAACAATTGCCCTAAAGGCATACAAAAAGTGAAGACTGAAAGTCCATAGGTTTCCTGCAGTAGGAAGGACATGCCCAAGATGTAGGGTTTGTGGGCAACCACGCAGGCTAGTCTGTTCTCCTTCCTCTTGCTACACTGGCCACGGGTTCTCTCCAGTGTCCTGGGAAGAAGCTCCAGCAATGTTTGGATATCAGACAACTTTCCACCTTCTCAGGTAACTGGTGCCTCAAATAATCAGCTTCTCAAGAAAGAAGGACCATGATGGATCACAGTTTTGGAGGCTCAGTGCATGATCATTTGGCCCTGTTGGTTTGTGTGGATGATGACGCTAAGTCTTCCAGTGGCCGAGAAAAGCTGGTTTCATGGTCTAGACTCACTGTACCCTCACGGCATGGCTCTGGTGACCTGAAGATCTTTTGCTAGGTCCTAGCTTTTAAAGTTCTCAATCCCTTCCACGTGTTAAAGGCTTGGTGCCGTGGGTGGGTTAGGGATCAAGCCTTGAACACACAGAACATGAAGGACTTAAAGCATAGCAGCTGTACATACATATTCTAGAATTTTTTCTTTCTCTTTTGTTTTCTTTTCTATTCTTCTCTTTCCTCCTCCTCTGCCTTCTTTTTTTGGGTGTTATGTATTTCTGGGATAGGGTCTCATGCATTCTGAACTCCTGATCCTCTTGCTTCCTCCTCTGAATTGTAAAAATTATAGATTTATGCTTTTCTAGAATTTTCTGTCACAGAGTGAGCATCACCATCTTCCCACATGCGTTTTGGACTTACATAAAGCCTAGACATAAACAGCCTTCTGGGTGTTCTCATAGAGAAACACCTTATCTGGCTGGGACCCCACAGGAAACAAATGACTTGCTTGTGTCTAGGTAATTTGAGAATTCTGGAGGGAGATGGCCCGACAAAGCCTGGGAAGAGCAACCACTGCCCACACACAGGCTTACAATGAAAGAAATCAGCAGGACATATGCTCAACTTCCTCTCCTCTCTTCCCCTCTCAGTAGGCTTTGCACTGGTCACACCCAGAGGGAGCACGAGGGTCAGGCAGAGATTGATAGAACACGTAGGTCAGTCCCCTGGGCACAGAGAAGGGGCCAAGGAGGGGACATTTACAAGGGGGCAGAGGAGACACCTGGCACAGGGCTTCTACCTAGTTGACACTGGATAGTAGTGACATGACACCATCTACCGTGCCTATAAACCGCTGAAGGAGATTTGTATAAAGAGGACAAGGGCAGATGTGTCACCTGCGCTCAGTGAGAAAGTGAGAACTTGGACCTACTACATACATCTGTGGACCAACTGACCAGACCCAGGGGTCACATGAGCCACCAGATACTCCTGAGGCTCTGTCTAAACCAAGACTAAGTGAAAGCCAAGCAGCCTTAGACCCTCGCCCTGCAGCTTCCTTCCTCATCTTCACCTTCCGCATCTCACTGAGAAATAGACACAGGAAGGGACAGTATCAGGAAATGGGCATGTCCTGCTCCTTCCTAGAGAGTGGGGTAGCTGACCTAAAGGGCACACTAGCTTTCTAGGTTGGGGTCTCCGGGTAGGAGGCAGTCCCCTGCCTGGGTATCCCATATAAAAAGCAGTCAAGTTAGCCAAGAAATGACCATCTATCTATTGTAAAGAGCTAAGGAAGAGGTTTTTAGAACATTGGTAAATTATGAAAAGCATCCAGGCTTGCACTAAAATGCGAACATTAAAATATACAACAATATAAAACAAGAAGTCTACCAATCTAGCCTCCAGCCCCTGGGGTTCACTCCTCACCACTTTGATTTTCTAAATTAAAAACAATGCCTTTGCTTTCTTCTATAATTTTGATATAAAATCCTTTTTTTTTTTTTTTTTTTTTTTTTTTTGGTGACAGGTCTCATGTAGTCTAGGTTGGCTTTCAATTTGCTATGTAGCTGAAGTTGCCCATAGATTCTTAATCTCTTTTCTTCTTTCCCCCAAGCTCTGGAATTACAGATGTGTGCCACGATGCTCAGCTTTACAAAATGTTTCAATGTGAATGGGCTCCTATCCGATCTGTTGTGCTGTATTTCAGTTTGCTTTAGGCATCTACTCAATATATAAGCTAAGAAGGTACAGTTACTTTCTTTTTTTTTTCTTTTCTTTTCTTTTTTGTTTTGAGCTGAGGATTGAACCCAGGGCCTCGCGCTTGCTAGGCAAGTGCTCTACCACTGAGCTAAATCCCCAACCCGCAGCTACTTTCTAAAGATGGTCCAGGGTTGCATTCTGGGAAAGGCTGCTGAGCGTCTAAGATTAGACTATATAAGCCCAATGTCTGCTGTGAGTGATCCCCTTGGAATGATGAAAGCATACTTCACAAGCATCAGTAGGCACTGACCATTTGTATGATGACTCAGCATCTCTGAGACCTTTGCAATGGCTCAGGTACTTTTCTCCACAGGGCACTAGACAGTTAAACAGCCCATAGTCCTTGCTCTGGGTCTGAGGAGCAATGCAGATACTCGTAGGTGACTGGAAACTGGCACTGCAGACACTTCAGTGGGCACCTGTGGAAAAGATCAGGTGTCATTTCTGATTTTAGGTATCTTAGGCAACCAGGGTTCGAGAGGAAGTCAAGGATGTCTTCTTCAAGGAGATGATTCTCTAAAAATGGATTTGGTTGCAAGAGGTAAGATGGGGGAGGGGAGCAGGGCAGATAGGCCAGACTGTGGAAGCATCTTATTCTTGGAAGAACCTACGAAACACATCAATTCAACAGAATTGGCCTTACCTCAGATTGGCATCTTGATTTTGGCCTTCCCAGCCTCCAGAACTGTAAGGAATCACTTCTTCCAACTGGGCCCCCATCTCCCACTTTGCCCTGTCTCCCAATAATACAGTCATGCTTTGACCCCATCAAGGGAAGGCAAAGTTGTTAGGGTGCAATCACTTCCCCAAAGCCCCAGCTCTGAACTCTACTGCTCTGGGAGCCAAGCTCCATCATGGGCTTTAACTCCCCTCCAAATAGAAGGCTGTTGGCAAGCCTTTCTCCAGCGTCTCCTTGCCATCTGATTCCCTCTCATACATATGGCTTGGAAGACAAAGGAACAGGGTTGGGATTTGGCATTATGTTGCTCTGAATCTTCCATCCTTCCCCTCCAACACTATTTTTGGAAGTCTGTGATTTCTGAGGTTAAGGAAATTTGGTTGTGTAACTCAGTGCAAACCCATTATCATAAATGCTCCGGGTGATGTTCCTTGAATATATCTAGAATCAGAGGAGAGCTGACTAAGAGAATGATTGACAGCCGTGCCTTTGAGTTTTCCTATAATAGCCCAAAACAATTTACTTAGATTAAAATTCAGCCTTTTAGACACAGTATTTCATAAAATACATTCAACTGCATATCTTTAAGCCCATTTGAGAAAAGACTCACGAATCTGTAAGGGTAGAACAGAGATGAAGCAATCTTGGTTGTTTATTAACCCAGACTTTGGGGACCACAGGAAAGCAGAGTTTGGAGACTATACTTTAAGGAAGAAGTGACTGTGTGTCAAAAGCTGTGACAGAGAAAGTTGAAGTGACCCTCCACTGTCTTTGTCTGCTCTGACTTTTTCTGGTGGAATGGTAGCAGAACCTGATCCATGGCCAAAAAGGACAAGAATCTGATGAAGCCCAGGGAAACTAAAGCCTCCCGTGGAGCTGGGGAGGGAAGCCAGTTTCTCTCAGGGCCAGAGTACTGTGAGGATACAAAATCAATAGTCCCTGTCAACCTGAAGGAAATGAGGGCACCAACAAGGAGCCACAAGAGGAAGACAGAGCTGAAGGGTCCAGTGAGTTCTGCAGTTAGCTCCATCCTTGCCTCCACTATGACTCCCTGCTGAGCTGATAGATTCTGTCCTTTGCTGGGCTCACTGAATTGAGTTTGGGAGTCTGTAGAACATAGACCATCCTGACTAATGAAAATAGGACTTGTGCCAGGGATGGGGGTGGGGTTGAGGGGCGTGGGGAGCACATGAAAGGAGTTGGATAACTAACTATATCGTCACATTGGGTACCTTGGACTCACTTCTCTGATTCCTGAAGATTTTAAACCATTGTTTTGTCATGAAGATTTTTGAGAAGATTCTCTGGGTTGGAATTGCAATGTGCCCCCCATTGCTTTAATGAAAATGCCTCTGTGAGTTTTGTGAACTTGATTATTCAAGTAGAAAGGGAAGTTCAGTCAGAGTTCCCTAGGAAGAAGGCTGCTTCTCCAGGTGCCTGGTGTGGCTGCAGTATCTAATAGGAAGAGATTTCTCTTAGAACCATCACACCCCATTCTCAGGGACAGAGCCCACCATCCCGGTCTCCAGATCTCATTGGTTAAAGGCTCTCTCCAGTTCTCTCAGCTTAGATCTTGTCTGTCCCCGCTGTATGCTCATTCAGTATTTCCCTAGATCTTAGGCCCTGTGGATAGAAATAGAGATTGGGGAGGAAGGCATGGT